ATCAGGCTCCAGAGTCACACACTGAGACTGTAGAGGTGCAATTGGGTTCAGATCCCTGGTGCCAAACTTCTCTCTGATAATAGGCACAACTCCAGTGGCTTCACTGAAGCTGTGATTCTCTACACCAGCAGTGACATTGGCCCTCTGCCTGTGAGGGAATCTTTAGCTCCTTAATCATTTGACTACAGATCATTAAAATACCAGCTTAAATATAATATTTTGCAGGTATAATCTATTTCTCATTTGAAAAATAAGTGAGACAAGCAAGCACAGACGCTTGGCTGCTATGACATGCATTATGCTTCTCTAAATAGAAATGAGAAGAACATTTTAATTGACTGTAGTGCTGTACATGGGCAGTAAACCATTATCTCAAATTGACATGTTCTATTGGAGCATATTTTCCTATGAACCAACACACCTGGGGTTCAGAATTCTACTTGTCCTTCAGGAAGGAAGCCTCTAAAACATAAACTTGTTTTCTTTTCAGTGCCACTTAGCCTGCAGAGAAGAAAATCCCCTGCAGGTTTGAGATGGATATTCGAGACTCAAGCACTGTCTAAAAGCTAAGGAAAAGATCCTTATCTGGTGTAAAAAAGTGTCAGAGCTCTGTTGATCTGCCCCAATAGCTGAGAAAAATCGAAATGGGTAAGCAAGGCGTAAAGAAATCCTTTTCTGAGTTACTGGAGTATAGACAAATACTCTAAAATACAGGCTCAGATTTCTTTTGAAAAATGTATGTCTAAAGTTAGCTCCCAAATTCAAGTGATATATTAGGCTTCCCAAACCTATATTTAGGCACCTAATTTGTGCAACACTTTTTGAAAACAGTGGACTTTAACTTTTTTGTGTTTTGCTTTTTGTTTTACATCTAGTTTCCATTTCTTAAAAAAAAACACCCTGTCTGTTTTAAAATTTCTGCTGTTGGCCTCATGTCTTCCGTATTGAGACTGGGGCTGCTATGTTACTCATATCTATGAGGCTACTATTCAGTTTGGTACATACTATGGTATTTCATTCTACTGTCATCAAGAATGAAATACAACATAGTCAACAGAAGTAGCACTGTACAAAAATGATCAGTGTAATATGATCATAGATACAGATTCATAACACAGTTGCAATATTTGAAGAATTAAAATGAAAGTACTAGAGGCTATTTTCTTTTTCACTGCTACTGTGCTAGTCATCGGATAGCAATAATATACATGCTTATCTAAATGCAAAGACCAAACCCTGCAAGATGCTGAGTTTCTTCTTCACCCACTGCAGATGTTGGCACACAGCGCAAAGGAGTAGGCACCCTGTATTGTCTAGAATCAAGCCTAGAGTTTTTAAAAAATAAGTGCAAGTTCCTGATACAAATTAGGGGTGCGCCTAGACAGCAGGGCTTCCGTCGAATAAGCTACACAATTTGAGCTACTTCAACTGCGTAGCTTATTTTGAAACAGCTTTCTTTGATAGGATAACGAGTCTTGTGGATAAGGGAGAAGCAGTGGATGTGGTATACCAACTCTTTAGTAAGGCATTTGATATGGTCTCGCATGATATTCTTATCAATAAACTAGGCAAATACAACTTAGATGGGGCTACTATAAGGTGGGTGCATAACTGGTTAGATAACCGTTCTCAGAGAGTAGTTATTAATGGTTCACAATCCTGCTGGAAAGGTATAACAAGTGGGGTTCTGCATAGGTCTGTTTTGGGACCAATTCTGTTCAATATCTTCATCAACGATTTAAATATCAGTGTAGAGAGTATGCTTATTAAGTTTGCAGATGATACCAAGCTTGGAGGGGTTGCAACTGCTTTGGAAGATAAAGTCATCATTCAAAATGATCTGGACAAATTGGAAAAACAGTCAGAGGTAAATAGATGAAGTTTAATGAGGACAAATGCAAAGTGCTCCACTTAGGAAGGAACAATCCGTTTCACACATACAGAATGGGAAGCAACTGTCTAAGAGGAGTACGGCAGAAAGGGATCTAGGG